TGCTTTTGTATTGTATAGTTTCTCCAGAAGTCCTCTTTTTACCTCAGTTTACTTCATTTCTGATTTACTCTCTGAGAAAATACCTGTCCTATATTAAGCATTTGACCTATATCTTCTGTACCAAAGATGCAAAGTATATATTTGGTTTTCCTACAATTGAATCCTCCTCAAGCATCTCTTTCCTTCCCTTGTCATCCAAAGGCCCTATCACTTCCCTGGGTTAGTTTTCTATTTCAAATATATTTTAAAAGTTTTTTTCTGTTTCCCTTAATTATTTTTACCTTAAGACTCTCAAGTTCTTTTTTAAAAATTTCTTATTGTCACCTTATCCTTTTTCTGTTCTTCTTTCTCCATATTAGAACAGGCTTTCTGTTTTCTAAAGGAAAAGCCTTCTTAACTTTTATAACTTCCTTGACACAACTAAAAATTCATGCTGGGCTGTTCCTGGACTTAATTGCCCCTTTCTTACATTGTTCTGCACTTTGTGGATTCAAATAATCAAGCATTATTGGAGAAATTTAGCAACCATGACTTTTCCTTTTGTTTTTTCCCCCAGACCCTTTACTTTAACTTTTTGGCAGTTTGACTCTGGGATGCCACTGGTTTCATAGACAACTTCCTTTAATATTATCATTATATTTCCTGTCATATTATTTCTACTGTAAGGTGAAGTTTTCATACTTCTGTGATCCAATGCTTATGCAAGATGTACCAGTTTACATCCACAATATTGATATCTTCTCACACAGAAACTTATTCAGTAACCTTAATACATTTTCCACTAAAGTGTCTATAGCTCCTACTATTACAATTGCCTTCATTCCATAATAGTAATAGTCTCAGTAGTTACTTTTCGAGAGTATTGTTTTTTGTATCTCCCAAAGTCTATTTTAAGTACTATTTTCCTTCCATATTGCAAATCCTTTCATGCTTTTCCCTCCAACTTCTGTGGATTCACTATTTTGTATATCAGACACTATATCACACACACATACACGTCGGTTCGTTATTCTGCTTCCTCTTTAACTATAGTTCTTCAGCTTCAGGTGGAAAAGCCTGCTCTAGATTAATCTTCTGCTTATGAGGATGCTTTCTTAGAGTCTGAAACTAGTTTAAAACATATTTTACAGCTCTTTTTCTCCTAACCAGGTAGTAGGGGATGCAGTTTGTGTGCTATGAGGATTTTGCCCCCATGTAGAGCAGATACTGCTCACAATTAAAGCTCTTTGTTTCAGTTGAAGCAATTTCAAATATATGCTCCTAATTCAGTTATCAAGGGGTGTCCCAGAGCAAGCTTCATACAAAACTTCTATCCAATGTTTAAAGAAGGTTGAAAATTGGATATTTTTGATAGGCAAGGTTTTATTCTGTTGACGTGCATAACATATATGTTACTAAACTATAATACTTGTATCAGTTTTCCCTTTGCGAAATGACAACATTTTTTCCATCCCTTTCTATAGAAAAAGATCTTCTAGCCTATCTTCTTTTAAATGAAGGCTTACTGATTTTCCAGGAAGCCAATAAGCTCTTGTTGTGCTGCTGACTGTGCATCAAAATCACTTGCATGAACAATTGCCTTTAGCTCTTTGGGATTTATTAATGAAGCTTTGATCCAGACTGAAAACTTGTCATTCGACTGCATGGTCTGTTAAATAAGAAAGTGGAGGATACTTTGAATGAGTCTCTGAAGCTGAATAATGCCACCAAGTACTTGAGGATTTCTGCTTCTCCATAATCCCCTGTAATCTTCTAATTTCTGATCTTGGCAAGAAAATTGATCCTTGTCTGTTAGGAAAATATCACCTAGCCCAGTCATTTCAGAACACTTGAGCTGTTCTCCTAAGCACTCTGTTGGAGCTCATAAATTTCTACCAAAAGGATTCTGGTCCATCCTGAGCGTTATCTCATAGGAGCATATCGCACTCCTATGTTTTTGTCACTTCTTTAGTTTTGTAGAAGCCAAATTTTGGAGATAGGCTCTGATATAAATGCAAACATACAAGTTGGAGTAAATCTGAGTTCAGATTGAATAGCCCTTCAGGACAAGAGTTTTTGGTAGGCAGGTTCAGTAGGCAGAATGTGTAACGGAGCCATTTTTTTCAGTATCTGGGGAAGCAAAGAAGGGTTCCTAAAAAGAATGATAGCAAAAATAATGGCAACACATATCCTTGTGAATTACCCATGATTACCCCACCCCCACCAGTACTGGCAAAGTAGGCCACAGCAGATAAATAGAGAGCAAACCTCATCCCATTTTAACACTGAAGATGTTACCTAGCCGGGTAACGAAACGTTTGCAAGAAAAGAACCAAGCTCAGAGAACCCCAAGGACTCCTCCCATTTTAACACTGAAGATGTTACCTAGCCGGGTAACGAAACGTTTGCAAGAAAAGAACCAAGCTCAGAGAACCCCAAGGACTCCTCCCATTTTAACACTGAAGATGTTACCTAGCCGGGTAACGAAACGTTTGCAAGAAAAGAACCAAGCTCAGAGAACCCCAAGGACTCCACATTACCCATGATCCCCTGTTTTATTCTTGGTATTGAAACTTACTGGAGGCAGGGCATTATGACCGCAGTGCTGTGGTTCCTTCTCTGAGGTTTTCTATTGATCTTTGAGCTGGAGAAGAGTGGAGTTTTATTGCATGAATTGCTTTGGAAATGGGTAGAGGACATCCCACTTTGTCACCTTCCAGTTCAAAGCTTGGAGCTGGAGTTATGACCGTATATTGAGTAATGACAATGCTGTGCAGTTTCAGGGACACAACCATATTCCTGCAGGAGGGAGTTACAAAAACCAGAATTAATATTAACTTCTAGATCATAGCAATTCAGTATGTTTGTAGTATATGTCAAGTCATTAATGATTTAAGTATCTAAGTATTTATACAAAAATGAGTAAATAAGTAATATGCATGCACATAGTTGTATTTATATAGTTTAGATGAAAGTTGCTTAATACAGTAATGAAAGCTATGCAAATACCAGACAATGAAAGGTAAGTGTTTCACTGATAAACTACTTTTACAGAAGCTACTGCAGTGACTATGTATTCTCTTTCTTAGTCTCAGAATGTATATTATGTATTCAAGATTTGGAGTTCTAATTTGGTACATAATCAGATGGAAAAAATCAGATTTTTTAAGTGTTACTTTGCATTTTTTAATGCAAGTATGGCCATCAGGTACTTCTATTCACAGGGTATATTATGACAATTTGCTCCAAACCTGTCTCTTTAAAGATGGGTGCACACAGGACTTGGGTCTTTGCCCAGTATTCACAATGACACCAGTCTTATAATTGTAGTATTAAAGTAGGGGTTTTCACACCTCCTAAAAAAAGAAGAATGCAATTAACCTCTCCCAGTTCTTTGCTGTATAGATACAGAGGCATCTTATTTGATTGACCCTCTGATTATAATAAATTATATTGTTCAGATTTTTGCAGGAAGATTCTTTTTCTCTGGTAGATTTTAAAGTTAGAAATGGTAATAATTAGTGAGTTTATATTATTCCTTATGACACTATCTCTAGAATAAAATGAAACTTTTAGTCAGCAACACTGTATTATAGATTTAAATACTAAAATATCTGACCATTTGGAGTAATGTATATATGCTTTTCATGTAGATATTTTAGCAAGAACTTTCTCTTCTGTTGGAAGAACATTGTCTTCCTCATACTTTATTGTCTCTACACCAGATCACAGCAGACCGTAAATATTGCCTTTAACATCACAAAGATAGAAGTCAATTATATAGTCACAGCAGGTTTATTAACTAGTTTATATCATTAAATTCTTTCAATATAGAACAAATTATGTTAAGTTTCTATCTTAAAAATACCTTTGGAACCCAACTTGTACTACAGAGTAGAATGTTTGGAATTATATATAAAATGCCAACTATTTAATATTCAATTATTTCAATTTAAGCTTTATGTTCTTATTTAATATTTTAAATAGGACTGTACATCTTTTGCTAGTTTCATAGCTAATTTTGTTCTCAGTATTGTTCTTTTAAGAAGGGTGGTTTAGGCTTCAACCCTAAGCATGCCTATATGTGATTAAGCAATGCTGAACTCACCAAATAAAAATCAATAAGATTGTTCTGTAGAGCCATTTTACTTATAATGTGTAAAATCTGTGTGAAAGGTAGACACTTCTTTTTCACTGCAAGGAAAGGTGCCTATGGGAAAGAGAGATTATAAATTAACTGACACCACTAGAAGAGGCAAACTGCTACTTACTTCATGGTAGAGAAAGTATTTTCCTTTTCTTCTGTGTTTCTTCAAACTGTAGTGGTAGAAGGTAGCTGAAGGACCAGGTGTTTTCCTGCTACTCTTGCCTTTTACTAAATCCTCTACTCAAAAACACAGTTTTGCTTTCTTATAGCTGTTGCTGAAACAGAAGAATTTATGCTAAAAGAGCTTATTCTTTAAGTCTCCTCTTTCTTGGCTTCTGCTCTTCTTATCTTTTGCCATAAGTTCACTTGAGAGCTTTTAAGGAGAAAAGAAGAAAAATAAGAGAAATCTGTGACACAGTATGATGATTTGCTCCACATTTTATTCAGTTTGAGCATTTTAATACAATTAACTATAAAGGAATTTCGTTGGGACAAGAAGGATGATAAAAACATGAATTGTAATTGAACCCATTCAAAGTTTGTACCATGGAATGACATACCAGTCAGAATATATCTGATGTTCTGTTGTCCAGTTTTCTGATCCCATCTCCCATCCATTTAGATGGATATGATCTTTCAAAATTGTACATGAAACTACAAGGCAATTATATGGGTGTTTTTTTTTGAAATAACATATGATTATAGAAAGTACCATAATCATGGTACATTTTGACAATTCATGTTAATAGAATTAATAGAATTTGAGTGAAGAATTCAACCATGAATGGGCTGTTTAGGGAAAAGATTGGATTTGCTGTTCCAAATGGACTAATTGCTATTTTATTTTTGTTTTATTTTATTTTTTTCATTCCAGTGTATCTTGAGGATAGTTTTGTAAAATCTGGAGTCTTTAATGTATCTGAACTTGTGCGGGTGTCTAGAAGTAAGTCTCCTTTTTGTCTTCTGAAATTGTATTTTATTTTTGGATGTGTATTACATTGTACAAGTATATGTTCCTACATGATCCTTTCCAGCTTTGATTCTTTATGATAGTCAGTGCACCCAGTTGTATAACTGACAATACAGATAGTCCTCACTTACCAACCACTTGTTCAGTGACTGTTCAAAATTGTGATGGTGCTGAAAAAGGAGACTTATAACCAGTCCTCAAAGCTGCAGCAGTTGCAGTGTCCCCACGGTCACGTGATTGCAGTTCATGTGCTTGGCAATCAGCATGCATTTACCACAATCAGTGTACCATGGTCATGTGATTGCCATTTGCAACTTTCAGAGCCGGCTTCCAACAAGTAAAGTCAATGGGGAAGCTGACAGGAGGTCACAAGTTGTGGTCACATGATGACATGCTTAACAACCCACGGTGATTTGCTTAACAACTGCGCTGGAACTGACTTCATAAGTTGGCACAGTCACATGACATTTCACTTAATGACTGTGCTGCTTAAAGACAAAGTTGCTAGTCCCAATTGCAGTTGGAAAGTGAGAACTACCTATAATGTAGCTAGTTTTACAACACTAGTATAAGTATCTTTGGCTGGTAATTGTCTAATCTATTATGATTTATCATATCCATCCACCTTCAAGATACCAATTGAAATCAATATCAGAATTCATTTGTTTTATTTGTAAGAGAGCCAGTTTAATCTAGTGGTTAAGACACCTGGCTAGAAAGGAGGAGACTGTGAGTTCTAGTCCCACTGTAGGCATGAAAGCCGGCTGGGTGATTTTGGGTCTGTCGCTCTCTCTCAGCCCAACTCACATCACAGAGTTGTTGTGGGGAAAATAGGAGGAAGAAGGGGTATTAGGTGTGTTCACCACCTTGAGTTATATAAAAATAATAATGGTGGGATAAAAATCTAAAGAAAAGAAAAGAAAATTACAATCTATAGATAATTACCTGGCGGTATGTTCTGTTAAACATGGTGGGGCTTCTGTGTAAGCATACCCAAAATTGTAATATTAAGCATTCAAAATACATTGAAATTCTTTTCAGATGTTCAGTAGTTTTGAGCCCTTTAATGTTGTAAGTTAACTATATAAAGTAATGTAAGGTATGTCGGTTAGTGACATGAAAATAAAACACACAGCTTGGAATATAGTAGTATTATAAATGGAATATAAATAATGTTACAGGTTTATTTTCAAAAGGCATTTTTATCTCACAAAACAAACATTTGAAATCTATTTATTATTGCTTATAGAATATACAACTATTTTGACTGGATATGTGTGAGAATTAGAGAACACACAGAACTAAGTAATAGGACTGTGCAAAGCTTCAAAGGTGTGCTTTGCTGTAGCAAACCTTTGGGTAAAACACTCCTTCAAAGCTATCTTGCCAAGCAGCATGTCTTCTTGCATTTAGGAGTGATCTCCAAAAACTCACTCTATGGAAGAAGGTTGAGAGGAGCCTTCTCTGACGGCATTGGTTGAGCTCATTCTGGACACCTTTGGCATGAAATGAACACTGTCTCACAGTGTGTGCCAGAGGCATCCTGCTTGAGGCACTCTTAGTGCAAGCTGGGTTGCTCCAGCATCAGCTGCAAGCTATCTCACAGCATGTGCCAAAGCTGTTCTGCCTGGTGCCTCCTCCAGATCATTTGCCAAAGAATTTTGGCAAGTAGTTGAAAGAGGCCAGCCATGTGGAAACTCTCAGTTCATACCACTGTTTGCCCACTGGAAGTAAGTTGAAAGAGGCCAGCAGCACAAAGGGCCAAAAGACCATCTTTGAGGAATATTGGAAGCAGATTGAGAAGAACCTTCTCCTACAGAGCTAGCTGAAATAAGACTCCCATCAGCTTTGTTCCATAGTACTGGTATGAAGCAAATTGAGGGGAATAGGAAACAAATCAGATTGCCTCCATAGCCCAGATTACTTTGTTAAAACAAATCTATGTTGCTTTGCAAAGGTCTATTAGTCAATTACGTCTTTGTCTAGCGCAGTCTTCCCCAACATATTTACCCAGTGATTTATTGGACTGTAGGACATGTCCATCTTCTCTTGGCCTTGCATGCTGAGATGGGAGGGAAGGCTTGTCCCATGCCCCTAAATAGTACCAATTTTGTCTTTGAATTGTACAAGGACAAATAATTTAGTCATGCTTTTCGTTACATAAAAGTGAATTTGCTTTGATTTTGGATTATATTGATATGGCTGTTTAGAGAATAGGCATAACTTTAAGCTATATTCTTTAGCACCTATAACCCAGGGAGCTGGAGTAAACTTCCCCATTGGAGAACTTCCAGGTCAACCATATTATCATGACATGAACTCAAGTGTTAACTTACAGCGATCGCTATCCTCTCCACCAACCAGGTGAGTCTATTATAAAAAGTCTGTGGTTGTGTAATATTTTAAATGATTTTGCTTTGCAGCTTTTTCAGTGAAATGTTTATGCATTTGTCTAGCAACTTAATCTGTTTTTTGGGGGGGGATGATTGGTTCTTGATGGAATAAAAAGGTAAGTTGATATATACTGAACAACATTTCTCAATAAATAATTTCAAATGACAGTTTTGGTAATGGAAATTATTACGGTTCGTAGTTGACTGGAGATCAGAGCCTTTGCCACTCCATGAAAGAACGAAAATGTTGAGAGAAAAGCTGTAGTTCCCAGGCTAGGGAGAATTGTTAATATCAACATAGATAGGTACCTCAGTTCATTATCTGTTGACTCAGAAAGGCAGGGCAGAGACTTAGAATTTAAACTCTGTGGCATAGACATACATACAGGCTTTTAGTCCCGTGTACTTCAGTAGGCAGATCTGTCTATATGGCTTTATTTTTTACTGCAATAATGGAATTAATCTGGCTATGCTGGGTATGTGAGCCTTCTGCTGAGAAGCCAGTTCCTGAATAAAGGGTTAGAATGTGAAAAGCCATGAGGTTTTAGTGTGCCTGTTGGAAGCCGAACTCTGCACTCCTAATCTAAAAAAAGTTCCAATAGTGTATTAGTAAGAGAAAAATGTGTATAATATATATAACTTTAAGCTCAGTGTAAAATGTGAATATGTCTACCAAGTGTAGTTTTGGCTTGACGTGTCTGAAAAGGATTGTACTTTAAAATATGGACATAAAAACTGTTTAAATAAGCTCTTATTTCTATATATTTACAGTAAGAGACCCAAAACTATATCCATAGATGAGAATATGGAACCAAGCCCAACAGGAGACTTTTATCCTTCCCCAAATTCACCAGCTGCTGGTAGTAGGACATGGCATGAAAGAGATCAAGGTGAGTAAAACCTCGATATTATAGAAAAGTGAGTTCTCAGTTCATTCTGTGTCTACTCAGAAGTAAACTCTGTTGAATTCAATCAGGTTTACTCCTACATAAATATAAAATATATTCTTATTTATATAATTTCTTCATAAACTATGAATATATGATAGATTGGAATAGAGAAGAAAAATTTAAATCTTTTGAGATTAAAATACTTCCTTAGAACTATATTATGTTTAGGAGTAATTAGTAATCTCATCCCCATTATTGTAAAATTGCATTTTGTATTTCTCAAGCACACAAATCCCTTTTTCAAAGCCATGGTACTCATTTAGAGTCACAAGAAGTCTTTAATAATTGATTTACTGGCAGGCAAAATGTAGGGACACTATATTGATTAGTAGAATCTAGAAAGATTAGAAAATGATTGAATAAATTATTGGATTTTTCACATACACTCTAAAAGAGAGGATGATTAATCTTGACATTTTTTTTCTGGCCATGTTTCTGTGCATTTAATAGCAGCCTCACATGAAAGTATTTATTTCTATCAATCTGTTCATATATACTCTGTGTGAAATAAAATCTGAAATATAAATAAGTAATGCCCTGTTTTACAAAGGTATACATTCATCATTATTTATACAAAGTTATGAGTGATAGGCCCTGAAGTAAATTTTAGCTAATTGAATATACAATAACATCTAAAATATTTTAATGTTGTTCAGCCATGGACAGCATTTCACAGCAATATTCATTTGAAGAGGAAAAGTAAGCATATGTAGTAAATGGAAATTACTATTTCTTAGTTTTTCACAAGACTTCCTTTAGTTCTATTCATATTATTTTATAATCTTGCTTAGTATTTTAAAGCTCTGTGATATGTTACTGAAAATTCCAAAGATTATTAAAATATGTTTTAGCTGATTAAAATATCACATTTTTTAAAAATTAGAATTATCTGTATTCAGGACTTTCTTTCCCTCCCTCCCATAGATTTATATTTACAATCACTTACCTGCTCCACAACTGTAACTGATACCACTATTTCTAATTTATACATTAACATAATTATGCCAATTTCATATATTGGTCATAAATTTATGCCTAATTTCTTCCTAATGCAACATTCAAAATATTATTTTTGTAAGGCTCATGATGCTATATAAAGTTCTTAGTTTCCCCCTGATACCTATATATCTTGGTCCCTTTGTACTGTAGTTGTCTTCTCCCCTTTTCTTTTTCTGTTCTTTGAACAGAATTCCTAAACCAACCTTTTGAGTCCTTTTTCTCTTTTTTCCAAAATATAAATGTAAAAATTCCTTTTTCATTTTGTGATCAGCAAAAATGAAAATTTGCCGCATATACTTAGTTATACTTATGAATTTGATATCAAAAAGCTTGCAACATGTATTTATTTGTATTTTTCGATGTAAAGTAAATCCCCCAAATAATTGGCTTGTTGTGTTTGTTTTCTAAAAGTGTCATCTGTGCGTTGGTGTTTTTGTTATTATGAATATTTTTTGGAGTTCAGATAGTACAAGAAATGAGATCAAGAATGTTGCTTAAATTGCGTATTACTTACCTGTTTCTTCTCCATTGCTATTGCCATGTGTAGAAATGATTGCCTTTACCAGGAACCATCACAGCTATTTAAAGGAAGAATTGAGAAAGCAATTTCCATATTCAAGGTTAAAAGCAATGCTGTAGTCACATATGTACAATCACTTCTATACATGGTGTGGGAACAGGAAGGAAGTAGATAAACACAAAGCCTGCTCCTGATGTGTAAGGAAGGTGACATGACATCTGTACAGATTTTCTATTTTTGTTGTCAGAGTCTAATTGTCAAAACTGAATGTGCTTATAGGTTAAAAGTTCCTTGTTTGTGGTGGTCTCTGCATAGTTCTAGTTGTGGAGTGTAGAGGTCTGTGGTGCTTAAGCTTTGGTAACCTTCAGTTAAGATGAAAAATGTGTCTGAGTGTATTCATGAACATGAACAGGGCATTAAAGGCTTAAATTGTTTCAAATATAGACTTATTTTAATTTTTCAGAATTTTAGTTCTTCTAGTTTGCCTTATTTTGCAGTTTAGTCTTTCTGATTGATATTTAATATTAGTTTATGAGTAATATGTTCTGTTTGGGTGGGATTAGTTTATTTTCTATATCATTACTATGCTTTGTGCATGGTCACTGAATTTATTCTTTTTGTATCTATGTTCAGTTTAAGTGATATTTTTTATGCCACTTTACCTTTCTTAGATCAAAATGTATATTATTCCATTGATGTGCTTCAATAATGAGTACATCCTTCATTGTCAATTAGTCTACCAGAGTAGGTTATCCTGAATGCATTGACACATGTCTTTCTAGCTTTTTAAAAACAAAATCACTTGGGCCAGAAAGCATGAATTGTCTATCAGAATAATTATTCTGTTATCAAAGTAGTTTTTTCTGGTCTTCTGAAGTTACGAGGCTGATGCCTTTGCGCCATGATTAGATACATTTGAGGCTTCATTTTGTGGGGACTTCAGTACAAATATGACTTGGTGTTCTCAGTTGGTAAGTACTAAGGGACCTGGTGCAATTTGTCCTAGAATCATCATATCTCCAGGGAATCTTCTTATTAGTTACATATCTTTTCAGCATCTCAGTGTGAGTTACTGAACATTATGGAGGCTTTGGTTTTACTTTCCTCTAATCTCAGATATAAGGGTAGGAAGAAGCTGCACTTACGAAGGGTCTCCATGCGAAAGGATTTGGTGTCATCACAAAGGAGAAAGAAGAAACTCTGTTGACTAAATTGCTGCTTTCATAAATTTCTGAGGCTAGTGGCAGAAGATGAGTTATTTGTTAACCTCAGTTCCCTTCATGCAGTACCATAAAAGTATGGTCATGCAATAATGGTAGACACAGCTTTTCTAAAAGGTTCCTGAAACTCAGCTGCACCTGAGATCTTTGCTCCACAAATATGAATTTGCAGAACCACAGTTATTGGTAAGTAGTTTTTTTTTAACAACAACAAAAAAGACGACAGTTTTATTGTCAGTTAAGAAAAGGGGGCATTGGGTGGACTTTAAATATTAAGAGTTTCACCTTTGAGGAAGTCAGGGTTATCCTAAATATCAGGCTCTGAGTGCTAGCCGTTAAGTAGTCAAAATAGTACTGTTTATATGCAAGAGAAATATCAACACATTTGGGAGTTTTAAGGTTTGTAAAACTATATAAAAAAAAAACGTTAGAGAGAAATAAAATTTAACTGAAGATTCCAGAGCATTATCATGAACATTGAGCATATTTGTTGACCACTGAAATTTGACTGCTAAGTGGGGGGGGGAAGAGTATCTTCAAAACAGCATCACCTTGCCCTGCAATATTGTGTTGTATTTCCTGCTTGTTGAACTTAAAGTCACAGATAACAAGTTGGTAGATCTCTTTAAACGTATTATTTCTCTTAAGCACATTTATTGAAAAGGACAGTGTTATATCCATAAATTACTTGCTCACTGAGTTAGCTAATTTGGAAACTAATTTGAAATTATGTATGGAAATGCATGACTAAGGGCATAAGATTAAGTCACATTCTTGGTATATACATTTATCTGAACTGTTCAAAAATTACTCTAGGTATTTTGCAGTTGATTTTAGTTGGTAGAGATTGTGCATATTCCTGATAGTTTTAGGTTTTGGAAGAAAGACTTCATACAGAACAAGAATCATACAGTAATAATCTGATCCTGAAATAATTGAGATTAGTGGGCCATTAGAATATCAGGTCATCCTATAATAGCATCAGGGTCTGTCCTGGCTTGCCAATTAAAATCACTTGTCACTTAAGTGAAAATTAGCTACTCCATTCTACTTTGCTTAGAGAGTTAATTCTGATACTTTTCCTTCTAAATAAATACACTTACCAAAACTTAGGAGTCCACAGATTTAGCATGCACAAATAATTTTTAAATCATAATATTTTTTAAAAATACTACTTAACTCATGATCTGTGGTCTTATATGGATCACAGCCTATGGTCTTACACAGCCTTTATTTAACATTACTCAGAGCTGTGAAGTGATAACGAAAAGGAATAGACAGATATACTTCATATTAGTCCTCAAAATGATAGTTCTTTTCATCCTTATCCAGGTTCATATAATAATAAAATTACAGTTGATGTTAATTTATAAGATTACAGAAACCGGCCAGTGTTCTGTATAAATAATACTATTTATAAAGGACCCTTCTTCAAAAATTAAATAATTTAAAACATGAAACAGCTGCACACATTGCTATGCTGGGGTTCTGTGAAAAGAACTGACATGATGTTTTTAAAGAAGCTCTGGATTTTTTTAAATAAATGAAAAGCAAACTTAATTGGTCTCTAGGGAAACAGCAAGCCTTTATCTTGCATATTTCATTAGTAGTTTAAACTTTTCATAATTTTTGATTAGAAAAATATATTTGACCTAGAGTAGAAAAGAAGGATGTGATGCTTTACGTCATGTATTGTAATTGTAATATTTTAACACTGCATATCCTAAAGCATTTTAATACTGTTAGAGATTTGTTTGGAATTGTACATTAGTGTGTACAATTAAATAAATTTTAATTTTACAGTTTCTTCATCATGTTCAGTTTCCTATGATTCTCCTGCATTCAACAGCAACAAATCATTACAGCCACAGCTTACCATTAAAACAGAAGCTCTTGGATCTTCTTCTCCTGTTCTTCACCTACCCTCTGCTGGGCCTCCTTGTGATGAGGAACAAGTATCCTCTCCTGGATATCCTTCTGGACCTTTGCCATCTTTTGCTATCTCCCCATCTTCTGGACTTGCTTTTTCTGGAATTCCTTTAATTACAGAGCCCTCTCCTGATGGGTCTTTTCTCATTAGACCTTCTTCACATGGTTTCTCTAAAATGGATATATTAATTTCTGAGCTAAGAGAATTAAAAGAGGAGGTAGGTAGTGCTGTTCAGGAACTAAAAAACATAACTGATCAGCTGGGCCATTTG